CCTCACGAGATAGCTGACTGACTAGGAAAGCTACCCTTAGAACCTCCAGAATTTTGTGCATGTAGAAAATTCTGCATATTTTTTTACTAGCCTGTGAGAACATTGAAGGGCAGAGTCATCTCTTCAAACCTGGAACACAGTAAGGATAGTTGTTGGGTTTTGGATGAACGGACTGTGTTTTTTTGGTTTCCTTGGGTAAATTTTACATATAACATCTACGAAAGACTCATGTCTAGTACAAAACTAATGAAGTGAGTGTCAACACCTACGTAGGGATTAAAATTAGTTTTTATGATGGAAACATGCTACAAGTATGTACCAGGCACCATCCCATATAAGAGAGAACCTCTGTCCTGAAAGGGTGTAGATTCTATAAATAAAAGAAAAAACAAACATTTTAATTTATCTAGATCTCTCTCTCCAGCTACATTATATCATGTTATCCAAGCACAGTTGTAGAAAAAAAATTTACCGCGTCTGGGTTAGATACTCGCTAATCACCAGAAAATCTGATCTTCAAAATGGTACATGGAAGTCATTCTTCCAAGCTGCCAAGGGGCAGCTACTTCCTTTCTGAAAATGATAGGTTCACTGAGAAATTACACTCAGAAAGCACTAAATTCAAATCGCCAAAATCTTTCCTTTATTTCCTTCTTATGGTGAATAAATATGCACCCAGAATAAAGGCAATAAAGGGCATTCATGTAAGAAGATTCATAAGCGTTAAAAGTCAATGAGAGATCTGGAGTCCAACTTGTTTTCCCTTTTACTACATTTTACATTGGTGCATACTCAACATATCTTTCTTACACTTAAAAAGAGGTGCTGAATGCTGACGGAAAAAACAATGGAGTCAGGAGAGAGCTGAGGCTCTATCTAGTTTTGTTCTACCCACGGACGCAAAGGAAAAATGAGGTTGCATGGTCACCACGATCTCCAAATTACATCTATAAGCAGAAGTCTATGTCCCAGTGATTCCAAAGTCAGAAGTGTCCCCACTGAAGGTTATGTGTATTGACAGTTCCAATGTCTTCAAGAGTTTCTGTATGTATATTTCAAGTTTTGAAAACACAAGTACAAGTTATTCTCAAAATTTAGATAGTGGTTAAAAACACAAAACGAAATCACTTTTAATAATCAACCCTAAACGCTTGGTAGAATTTCAAAGCCTCTACTAATTTCAATGCGAAGCATTTGGATTTTCCTGGGGCCTATACTTTAAAACCAAGAACTTTCAGTAGACAATTGTCTACCCAGTGAAATCCAATAAACATTTCCCCACTGTAAAAAAAAAAAATGTCTCTCCAGTTAACCTACATTCTCTGTTGGAAGTTCTGAATGTTATTAAATGGGCTGGTTATAAATCAAAATGCTCAATGTCCTTGATAAATGCTATGTGGAAGAGGAAATATTAATTGTCAGTCATTACTGAGACTATTATTAAGTGATCTTGAAAAGATCCGAGACTCTAAGGAAAAAAAGAGACATCATTTTTATTTATAATGGGCATAAAGGGGAAAAACCCAGTTGTTTTCTGGAAAGCACAAGTGTAAATAAAGCAGAAGGGAGACGTGGACATCATAAACGGCTTCAACACACAGGGATTTAACTCTCCTAACACTTGATGTCAAGTAGACAACCAGCAGTCTCTGCATTAACCACCAAAGGAAGAAATAAGCAAATCGAGCATTAGGAAGGAAGAAGTGGTACATGAAGTTGGACAATCACTTTTCTTACATCACAAGTTTGTGCGATATAAATATTACTGCTGGTGGGTCATGGTGTCCTCTACACCCATCTACAGTGCTATGTTGAGTAGCAAAATGGTAACGAAAAGTCATTATCCCCTTTCTTGGTCTCAATTTTTTTTTTTTTACCTAAAAAATGAAGGAATCTATTATATCAGTAGCTTTCAAACTTTTTCTTAGCATCAAGACTCTTTCTTCTAACAAAATTTATATAGACTCCCAGATAAGACTGGCAAAAGAAAGAACTTATCCCATGGGGAAATGGGGGTCTTGAGCTGATAGCTCCATACCACGATCTTCCCTTTTTTCTCCAATATGGCCTCTGAGGTACCCTAGGGCTCCCAGGAAGAAGATGTGAAATCTACTGGTCTTTAGGCTTCTTAGACTTGAACATTTTAGAGATTGATGACTCAGACCAAAAAAAGGGGCCCTACAGGCCTGTAATCCATAAGCCTTTGTTTTTCTCTTTCCCTTCCAACACCTACTAAACAAAGGATTTGGTGGAGAAAACTTTTATGAGGATCTTTCTAATATCTAGCCCCTTTTGGATATAATAAAACAAAATCTGGCCCTCCACAGGATTTCTCTGGAATTCTTTACAAGTACACACATTTGTACATGTTACATATCTTGACATTTGCTACAATCAGATAAACAGCTGAATTCGATGTGTGTGTTATTAGGGTTCTCCCCCAATAATATGTTTCCCTCCATGATGTGTTAATTCTAAAGACTACAAAAGCATAGTCAAGGTAATCTGCATCTGATCACACCTGATTTTCTATACATTTGTTAGTTAATGCTTGGATTCTATCCAAAGGGGAATATTGGAAGGAGAAGTTTGACTCTATTCCATGTAGTCAATTTAATGTGGTCGTGGAGAGGGGTGAGATGTTGTCCTACAGGAATTTTAGCGAAAGTGTTGGAGTTTAAATTTCATGTGTGGCTTTTCCTTTATAAGAGAATTAGCTGCTGTGCAGGTCTGGAAAAAAAAATGCTAGGGAGAAGTAAAATTATAGATAGAGATGGTATAAAATCAAGGGTGGCTTTCGAGTCACACTTAATAGGAATATAGAACTCTTTACACTTTCCAAGTTTCCCCCATTCTATGGGGACTCTTAAACTGAAATAATAATCTCTTTTCCCCTTTAAATAACTCTTGTCCTACTTTTAAGAGTACTAGGGGAATAAAATAAAACATATGCAAAATTTAACATCAGCATTACTAAAACATATGTAACAGCATGCAGAAACTCCACAGACCTTGTAAAAATCCATTTAATACCACGGAGAAAATCACCTAACATACAGACCAAAATGTATTTGAATGGAGAGGGCGGGTCTGAAGGGCAAGAAACTCATGATTTGCTCCTGGTTTTGTCATTGCCTGAATCTGTGCCTTCTACATAGTCATTCTCATCTATCTGAGAGTTAGTCTCACCCTTCATATAATTGAGTGATAGTTCCCCCTTGTCTTCCAAGGACATTGGGAATATTTTGGTCATTATCTCAATATTCCTAGGCTAAATAGAAGAAGGTAGCTAAATAACTCACAGGTGACAAACAGTAAAGAAAAACAAGATGGTTTGGCTCTCAGAGTCATGGAACTGGCATTAGATCTAAGGTCATTTGCAGAGAACACAAGTTCATCATTATCTACTTTTCTCCTTGGATCCACGGCTCTTTGGCAAGATCCTCATTAGTCAGTCTGAATCATCTAATCCTCACTTTCCCCTGACTTCCAAGCTTTCTCTCCTTCTTGTTTAACCAGAGGTTTAAAAACATCAACTTCTACATACAGTGAATTTCTTTGCATCCTAGAATCTACTGGAGTCCCGTGATGAGAGCTCTAAGTGGTGAGAGATGAAGTGCTATATATCAATGGACTTTCAGATTTCTCTCTTCAATGCTGACTGAGGTCACAGGACCCTTTCTTTCTCAATTCTAATAGTTCCAAACAGCCAAACTGTCCCTAGTCCTTGACCTTGAAATTTGGGCTTGGGTCCACAATCTTCAGAACTGGGAGTCAGCCCAAGTATAGCTCTTGGCTGGCTGCAACCCAGAAGTTTAGTAAACCTCCTAGAAACAAAACATCTATAAACAAACAAAATGCATTAACTAATGCGTGACTTTTATGCCATTTGAATTTAAATCAAAGCAATTACTTGTAAAAAGTCATAGTATCTAAAGAAGTTATTTGCTAAATGTTTTTTTTTTTAGCAACATGGTGGTTTTTAGGAACATACTGGGTTAGTTTTAGGAATAGGGAATTGGCTTACGTTCAGTGGATGCCTGGACAGTAGGCAAACTCAAAATCAAATGAAAGCCACATTGGCCTCCAGTGTTAACTGCAAAGCACTGCTATAGAAGCCACTAGAAAAAGTAGTAGAAATATTTGTATTACACATGCAGCTCACACCATTGCTGGGGTGGAGGCTCCATGTCTTCATGACTTATCTAATAGTTTTTGCTGTGCAGAGAACACTATGACAATTCACACTAAAAGGCTAGTAGCATGGGGAGAGTTCACTATTTGAAATAAAAAGGATATATCTCAATGATAGATCAAATAACACATGCAAGTTAATATTCCATATTTCAACTATGTGTACTAAAAATATTTTATAGTAAACAGTATGAGGTAAAGGACTCTAGTCATGAGTTTTAGGAGCTCTTAGATCAGGGGTCCTTAAACTTTTTAAACATGGGGCCAGTTCACTGTCCCTCAGACCATTGGAGGGCTGGACCATAGTTTAAAAAAACCCTATGCACACTGCACATATCTTATTCTGAAGTAAAAACAAACAAACAAACAAAAAAAACAAATGGGCAAAAACACCTGCATGTGGCCCGCAGGCCATAGTTTGAGGATGCCTGTCTTAGATGTTTTCCTATTTGTAACGTCCATATATCTGATAACCCATTCATTTCTTCATTAACTTATTTAGCAAAGAGTGGGTGAACATATTTTATGTACTAGCAAAATGCCATACATGATGGTAACACAAGCATGTATACCATATAATGAAATCCTATGTGGCTTGTTTTTTTCAAATAAGCCCATAGATTATTTTATACTCCTCTCTTCAAAAGGCAGAGCTTAAACCCCTGTCTCTTGGATGGGGCATGGATTTAGTGACTCACGTCTAACAACAGAATATTGCAGAAGTAACAATATGTTTCTTCTAAGACTAGGCCACAAAGGACACTATGGTTTTCTCCCTTCTTTCTCTTTTCTATTACACACTCAAGGAAGTTATCTGCCATGTTGCAATGACACTCAAGCAGCATTATGGAGATGTCTTATGGTGAGGGACCGAGATGCCACCCAGCATCCATGGGAGTGATGGAACAGCTTGGAACAGACTCCTCCAATAAGTTTGAGGTAAGCTTTCAGATAACAAAGCCCCAGCCAATATCTTGCATGTAGCAACATGAGCTAGAATCACCCAGCTAAGCTGCTCCCAGATTCCTCATCCTCAAAATCAAAACTGTGAGATAATAAATGTTTGTTGCTTTTAAGATACTGTTTTGGTATAGTTTCTCATGCATTGTTCAGAGGTCTTATAAAGTACTTCACAAAATAATGCTTATCTTCTAAGGATCTGTTCTGCCTCCCTTTATTGTTTAGTGATTAATATGTACAGTAATGCCCTAACCCTTTGGACTCGGACGTCGAGTGTGACTCGACACGGTTAGCAAAAATTATAGAGATTAAAATTACTCTTTGAATGTATCAATGATTTGAAATACAAAAAAATCCAAATAAGTTTGTATGAAAAGAAACTCCATTTTTTTTTATTCTACTGCCGTGCTTCGTAAAATCTGGGGTATTTAAAAAATTAAATCCCAGGTAGAATAAAGGAATGGAGAAAAAAAGCAAGCGAGTACAAAGGGCTAATATACTCCAAGTAAGATTTTACTCTTCTTGCTAAGAGAATAAAGGGATTATTCATCAGGCTTCAGGACTGGACTGGTATCTTGTACTGGGAGGAACTGGAAGAACATGTCTGGGACTGGAGCTTGAGGGTAGTGTAGACCAGGAAGGATGGAACATAAGGATGGAAAGGGGAGAGCTTACCGGTCTAAAATACTCTTCCTTGATTCATGATTTAGCATTTTGGCAAGAGTGCCTGGAGCTCATCCTAACATGTTGCTAGAATGACTCCTTGAAGTTTGGAAACACTGAAGGTTTACAGAAAATGAGGTGGAAATTTCAGAACTGCCTTGGCAGAGTATTAGGGAAGGAGTCAAGTAGTTCTGAGAGGTAGATGTATCAGAATGGATTTATTATTTAAGATCCCCCATTATTAAGAAAATCTGCCAGGTGAATCTATTCCCAATACTCCTTTTATTAAAGTCATAAGGGGAATTTGCCAGTGAGAATAGTGGCATCGTTGCTGAGAAGCTCAGGGGTAGCTGTCCTCTATATCCAAGGTTAATGACAGGAGTTGCTGCTATGAATCTAGAATCCCTAATGGGAGTAGGAATGTAAGATTCTGGAATTTCGGGGACCATGTGGCAGTACTTAACTATTTAGCTGAGATAGACATTATTACATAATGGAGAGCAATGGGGGTCTTGGCTCACAGAGATCTATGGCAAAGGACACAGATCATAGTTTTCCTAGAGGTAAGATAAATGCACAGCCAATGAGAGTATTGTTTCACTTATAAAACCAAAAAAATATCAAGAGTAGATGAGAAGCCTGATCTTCGCCACTGCAATTGTAAATTACAATCCTTTGCCCAGCTTCCATACCTAAGCTAGTTCTTAGAACTAGAGCCTGTTTACTAGAAGGAAGTCTAGGTCTTTTTGAAGAAAGTCCTTGTAATGCAAATATATGTAAGTAGCAACTCTCCTCATTCTTTCCTCAAAGAGCCTATACCAATTTCCCAAAGCAGCTATATAGCAGGGAAAAGAGAAAGCCCAGATCCTTCAAGAGCTATTGGATAATGGGTCTGAATGAACACAATTTCAGGGGACATAAAATGCCATCATGGCCCCTGTAATAGAGGGTGGGCATATGAAAAGGTGATAATGAACTGCTTGAGGTCCATCTAACAGGAATAGTAGGTCCATGAACACACTTGTGGTTTCTCCTAAGCTCCTTGAAACACAATCAGGATGGATATACTTAGAAGTGTTTACTTCCGAAACTTTGAAGACCCATTATAATAAAATGGGAAAGACCAAACATAAGACACTGAAACTACCTACAACTCCATCAAGATAGTAAACCAGGAGCAATATTATATCTTAGATAAAACGGCAGAGATTAGTGTTATTCTCAAAGACTTAAGGAAAACAGAGGTGGTAGTCCTCATCACATTTCCATTTAATTCCCCAGTCTGGTAAAAAACCACATAGATCATGGAAGATGATGCTACACTATGCAAAGTTAACCAATGGGCAAGCACAATCACAATGTGCAAGAAGTGGAATCTTTATGAGAATGGATAAAACATCCTTTGGAATTTGCATACAGCTATGGATATAGTATATGCCTTTTTGCAGTGCCCATCAAGGAGGAAGATCCAAAGCTGTTTTCATTCACCTAGAATAAACTGCAAAACATACATGCTCTTGTCCTAGGTTTTTTCTAACTTTCTTTTCTCAGTCACAAGAGAATCATGAGGGACCCTGATAATCTTGACATTCTGCAGAACATTATACGGCTCTTCTATAGTGGTGACATCATGCAAATTACATCTGGTGACGAGGAAGTGATAAGTACTCGGGGTGACCTGGTAAGACGCAGGCACGACAGAGGATGAGAAATATTCCCAGTTCGTAATGTAGATGAAGTGGTGTATTTAATACACCACTGGTGTATGCTTAATGGTGTAATGCTTAATTTCTGATGCCTAGTTTCTAGAAGAATTGCCCTTTATCTTTTATTCCCATCTGAGAATGATAGCATTTTAAGAAATATGAATATGGATTTTTACAATCCAGTAATTTTAGAAACTGAAAATAACTTTTCTCCCAAATACTAAATGATATGCATCTGGCTGCTTCTGTTTGGTTTGCCATTGGGCTTTGATTGAACTCTTTAAAATCTTGAAACTATACTGCCTGGAGTATCTGACGATCATGAGGAGATATAGTTGCTGCTATACGGTGAGGGTAAGGAAACGTATGTCTGGAATTAGATGCCTTAATAGGAAAGTGTCCGGGTACTCAACGTCCAGTGGTAGCAATGAGTGGGCAGTTGCAGTAGCTAAGCCAGACAACAACTGAAATGGAAGCATCTAAGAGGTGAGAGTCTGGGATACCTCACTGGCAACAGACCTAGAGTGGCTGAGAGTAGGAGAAATCTAGAAAGTGGTAGAGGAAGATGATAAATGTAAATAATGGCCTTGGGACCAGCTGTAGAAGCAGGAACTACAGCTGCTCACATTTGCCATTTTGCTGAGTCTTTTTTTTTTTTTTTTTTTTTTTAAGAATTTCTAATAGGACAAATTTAACTCAGGTCATGAGTGAATCTGAGCACTACGAGAGGTGAATTATAGCTGATGCCTTTGCTGACCCTCTCTATCCGCTGTGTTCACTGTTCCCAAACACACCTGCATGTTCATACATCAAACACAACTTCTTACCTGCAAGTCACTCCGACTGAGAGTGACTCCTGCCCATTGGAACAATATTAAAGCCCACATAGGAAAAGCTGGGAGGAGAAGGTGGTAGAAGCTATGTGAACAGCTTGCTTCAACAAAAGACGAACAGAAATTAGTAGACACATAACCCAGCTTTCTTACCTTTGGGTGGGGCAGCTTTGAGGCATGGTTATAATCTAGAGGTCATCAGTGGGCCCAAGAACTAACTGCTGACAGTGATAGGCTGATTATTAACACTTCCTGCTGGCTTAATTCCCTTCCTTCTGGAATCACCTCTCAAATAAACAAAGCATTCAAATCCAACTGATGTTCTGCTCTTGAGACAACCCAAGACAAGACATTTTTAATCCAGGTCCACCCAAAACCAAAGCATGAACTCTAACCACTGTGCAATCCTGGGCCATCTCCCAAAATAGGGTCTATGGAATCATAGCCTCACGATGACCTGGTGATAAATGTTAAAAATGAAGATTCCCAGGCAGATGGGTTAAACACACTGGAGCCTGAAGATCATTTCAGTATTTTGGATCTCAGTTAAGATTTCCAAGGCTAAGGGAGATTCTCTTTCCCCATGTAATAATTACATACAACTTCAAGTCACATTCTACATTCTTATTCTACATTAAGCATTCTACATTCTTATTTCTATATGTATATATGCATAATGCTTCTGCTTTAAATATATCTCAGTAGGTCAAGAGTACTCAACCAGCTAAAATAAGAACATTTTCTAATCATAGCAAACCAAAATCCAAGGAACAGACACAATATGGCTTGAAGCTTAAAATGTTTGATCTTTCATTCTCTACCTCCCAACAATTTCCCATAAAGCCCTACAAAGGCCAGTTAACTTCTTGGTGTCTGTGCCTTCCTTGGTGTTAAATGGAACTCATAACCCTTATGATGTCAGTGTGGTAAGTCGGTGAATTATTTCATGGTAGATGAGCTCTAATCTGCCACATGACATCATTCTAAAGATTCCCCTACATTATTCATTGCCGATTGCACTTCTCTTACATTATCACAGTGTGTAATCTCTAATTTCAGATATCACACACATATTTAATAGGTGGCACCAAGATACATGCTGTGGGGTATTTTTTTTTTTTAACGAAAATGAGTTAATTTTAGGTGACCTAGAAATGGTTTAGGGCTCTATAAATATGATGAACTTAGCCATCATGGTGATGATAAATATTAATGCTTTTATTTATAGTTCAGGAGACTATTAACATTCAGGGATTTAATATCACCATTTATATTCTTTAGAAGTAACCTCAAAGGTTAATGCCACAGAGTAATCAGTAGTTTTGTGGTGGCGTGGACTGGAATTGTACACACTACTAATACACTGATGGGTGAGGCTGGTCATGGTACCACTAGGGTATTCTAGCTGGCTAGCTTCACCTCCTACCATATGTGGCCCACCTTAGCTCCATTACTCTCCTCCTCTCTCCTGTGCAGTAGCTGTTTTTAAGTGATAAAAACTTAGTATATTTGTGAAAGATGGCCCTTGTGGGAGAAATAAACCATTGCTAGTGCTGGTGATGAAAATGAAGAAGTCTAACAAGTGCTTACTCTTACCCAGAAAAAAAAAAAAAAGACTTTTAACAAATTAAAGAGTGGAACGTTGAACTTGGCAGACCTAAATCCATGAAACCATGGAGTCCACCAAGCAGGTATATTAAAAACATCAGAAAGATCATTTCATGAAATTATTTTAACAGGAGTCCTCACCAAAATCAAAATTGTATGTATTTTTGCTTTTTCCTCTGCTAAAAAAAAAGTGTTAGTCTGAGGATCAGAAAAGTTTTAAGTTTTAAATTTTATTTTGTAGCCTTTTATAGGAGAGGTCGTATATTCTGTTTATCAATTTTAATAGTGTTTTACTTCTTTTGAATTTATAGGAGAAAATCACGATCTTCACATGAAAATATTACTTTGTAAACCTTTAACATTAAACTCCTTATTTGGTTGTATTGTATCATCACTTCAGAAAAAATTATTTAAAAACAGATACCTGACATGCTTCTCTTGTTCTTAATAGAAGAACTGGAATATTTCTAGGGTTTCCCAAAGTACATTTTACTGAACAGTTGTACTGCTTGAAGAAAAAAATCTATGACAAATTAAGCTTTAGAAATGTGTCACACTCTATTCCCCACCACAGAGAGTCCAAGAACATGTTTATCTATTAAATAGACTCAGCAGCCCTATAAATTAATCTCTTAGGGTTTAATTTTCTTTAATCCTGGGTTCACAATTTTCCAGAGATTAGAAAAAAGGTCTCAACTGTCTCATGAAGCCAAATAACTTTGATATCACATTAAAGGGGAAACAAATTGTATTTTTATCAGTTTTTAATCTCATCCGCATATGAGACATATTGTCCTCAGAATGGATCTATCATTGTTCATTGTAAGAGCAACAGTATGAAGCAGAACTCCTGCCATGATGTCCTCTGTCACCACTGCAGAAGGGACACCAAGGCCTGTAACTATTGAAGAGAAGTCACAGATGGAAGCACTCTGGGAGGCCGAGGCGGGCGGATTGCTCAAGGTCAGGAGTTCGAAACCAGCCTGAGCAAGAGCGAGACCCCGTCTCTACTATAAATAGAAAGAAATTAATTGGCCAACTAATATATATAGAAAAAATTAGCTGGGCATGGTGGTGCATGCCTGTAGTCCCAGGAGGCTGAGGCAGGAGGATCGCTTGAGCCCAGGAGTTTGAGGTTGCTGTGAGCTAGGCTGACACCACGGCACTCACTCTAGCCTGGGCAACAAAAGTGAGACTGTCTCCAAAAAAAAAAAAGAACTCATAGATGAAAACTTCCCAAAGTGAGCAATCAGCACATGAAGACAGTGAAGAGGAGAGATTGTTGGCCACTAAGTCACTAAGTTTTGTTAAATACTGAGACAAACTATGCCTATATGCTTCCCTTTGCAGACTTCTAAATCAGTTTAAATTAAGAATTATAAGGAAAATTCTGAAAAACTTTGATCCATGGACTAGTATTTTTGAGTCATGATTTTTTTCCAATTCTTCACTATGTTACTGTGATCCATAATCCTCTGCTTCAGATTGTCTTATTCACCTAAGCAACCTCATTTTCTATAAAGTTGACTACATAATATATCAACCTTATGAATTCAAACTCTTGAAATGCATTTATACAAATAAACACTCAGTTTTGCTTTTATAACTTGGGTGTCCGCATAATAGTTTAAAATTTTTCCTTTTAAATGTAAAAAAAAAATGTTTAAAACTTTTGCATTGCTGTTTGCTTTGATCAGTTCCATCTATGTTCTTCAGTGAGATTCGCCTACAACTTTCTTTTGTGTGTTACTTGGTCAAGTTTTAATATCTTATCTCCATTTTTCCTTATATTTTGAGATAGTATATATGTGTGTGTGTGTGTGTATATATATATATATATATATATATATCTTGTTAATTATCTCTCCCCATAGAAGATTTAAAGACTTTACCTGTAAATCCAGCAGTAATTCTGGAGATTTTAAAAAATTTTCCATGTCAATCATGTTTATTGGCGTATTTAGGTTTTCTCTATATTCCCCTTAGTCAACACTGGTAATGTTAATTTTCCTAAAATGTGTCATCTTTTCCAGTTTTAAAACATGCAAGAAACATTATTTATGGCTATAGCATAATTCACTCTATACCACTTTCTTTCTAACCTTTTCCTCCAGTTGGGAAGGAAAAAAGAAAATAGAAGAGAAAGACAACGATAGAAGTGAAAGGCAAAGGGAACAGAAAGAGACCCAGGGTAAGAGAATGGAATATAAAAAGCTGCTTTATTAAATATTCCTTTCTACACATCTCTTTTTCTAAAAGAGGAGTTATCTCGTGAAAAAGGAAGGTGACAGTAGATAAACAAGGTAAAGGACAGGCTTTCAAAGGTCTGGGCAAGCCACTATTAATCAAGCTTCCTAAGCTATTAAAAAATGCTTAATACCAACTACATCCAGCTTTTGGTGTCAAGATTAGGTAAGGTACTCTATAGTTCTCTAAAATACAATGCTACAGAAATACAAACTATTAGGATGACTTCACAGATTACTAACATTCCATTTTTAACTCGCTCTCCTCTAGAAAGTTTCCAGTTTTTAAATTATGTCCTTTTTTTGAAATTTCAGAATATTATGAGGGTAAAAATGTTTTGGTCACCTACATTGCTGTTGTACCATTTGAGTGCACTGTACCTGTTAGGTGTGAATTTACCCATCCCCGCCTCCCCGTTGCTTGACTTCCAATGAAAGTTATTTCCATATGTGCATATAAGTGTCGATCAATTAGTTCCAATTTAATAATTATATTCTTTAAATTGTACTGGGGAAGATGACCAAAAACAGAAAAAGTTATTGATGGCAAGTTCTGGCTGACCACAGGACTGTGCAAGAAAAATAAAATCTTATAAGATCAGTTGGTATATTCCTTATTACTAATATAGTACTAATACTAATGATAAGATCAGTTGGTATATTCCTTATTACTAATATAGTACTAATACTAATGAATGATAAGGTCAGTTGGTATATTTCTTATTACTACTAAGGAATTATAAATCATAAATATGGTTTCTTAGACTAATTTTTAAAGAAAACTTTGGCAAATAATTAGAACTCTGTCACTACTAGTGCCCTTCTTTAAAAGAATCAGTACTAAGTAAGAAAAGATAAAAAAGTATCAAAAATCTGTAAGACCTTGGTAAGAACTTGTTCAATAGAGAGGAAAAATCATAGTGTGTAACCCAACTACCCGTCTTCTGTTTATTAACCTCTTTCTGTATACCCTTCTACCTTCTATTTAATTTTCTGCCCTTGACCTAGGCAATTTGTGGTTGGTTCTATGGTAATGGTTGCTGGAAAAGTAATTTGATTTTTCCCTTATCTACTTTTAACAACCCTTCCCTGCTATCTTACTCATGTTCGCTACACTACAGGCAACATCCTGCTGATACAGAGGTTGCACTTCCTGAAAGGCATCATTTTGGGTTCCACAATGTCCCTATCTTTTTTTCTCCTAATACAATCACTCCTGTAGGTGGCAAATAGTATTTTGGTCATTAAAGGGCATGAACTGAAAACTGAAAGAAAAACTTTAAAAAGGTGTATATAATTGAAGCCCAAGGTGTTAAACCCATGGAAATATTCTACTGCTCATTAAAACAACTATACAAGTATACTTCTCTTGAGGAAAATAACCAAATCAAATGCTCATTTTTAGTACTATCCGGAGGCATCAATTTGCATAGCTAGAGGAGTATGGAGGAGGTGGGGGTTCATTGGTGGTTCTGGTCACACTTTGTGGATTAATCTGCATATCAGATGTCAAAAACTAGAGACATTACATTAAAAATGAACTTCAGGAATTTCATGACTTTATTTTGGAGCATATGAGACAGGGAGGACTATCTCTTGAATGTAAAATATGTAGATAAAAAGAGGTAACAACAGGAGCACAAGAGCTGAGCTGTAGAGGTACAAATCTCATTTTCTCATGTCCTCCTTCCTCTCCTAACCCAATTTCTTAAGATAAAATGACTACGATTGTTCAGCAATGACCAAAAAAATCAGGTGAGCAACCGTAAATAAATGACTTGAAACTGTGACCCACAGAGTGATGTGTCACTTCGGAAACTAGTATTTGTAGAACATGCAATTTATAAATCACCACCAATACTGGGTCTTTACATTCATCCTGTGTTGAACGTATTATTTTGATTACTTTCCCACTTTGCAAATGGAATTAAGAAACTAAGACTCAGAGATGTTAAATGATTGGCCCTTATAGTTAATGATAGAGTTCAGGACTTGCTACCTCCAAATATGGCACCTTGGCATTTGAGAAAACAAAGAAAGATGGCCACTCTCACCTCCCCTTCTCTCTACCCCACTGATGCAGGTCATCCAACCTTTCTTCCAGAGATGCCCACCCTATACCTGGAAGGCAGGGACATCTTTATCTCTGAAGACACAGGGACACAGAGAAGAATTTGAACAAAGAGGCTTGGCTAAGTTCCCCCCAATTTATTACCATTAGATCCTACCTCTTTTTCCAATCGTACTTCCCCAAGACTATCCCCTTCATCATCAAACTTAGAATAAAAATACACAGGTTCACCCATTTCTTTAGGTCTTCATTTCCTTATGAAAGATTCCTGTGTCATGTAAAACTTAAACTTGTATGCTTTTCTTTTACTAATCTGGCTTTTGTTATAGGAGCCTCCACCATGGACCAAGTGACATGACGGGTGAGATTTCTTCTCCCCTATGCTACGGAGCACAAAGGCAGGACCCAAGCTCTGGTGGCCTCTCTCCAAATCCCACGCTTTCCCACTGCCTTCAAGCAGTTGCCCATGTCGTAGGCAAGTATGATCCACACATATGGAATAAAAAAGAATTGAACAGAACGAATAAAGACAATCCTGGGTGAGTCTCCTCACTCTGATGACAAAGTGCAGCTGGCGGGTCCAGATGGCATATTTTACTATTAGTAGCTGGCTCTGAAGCAACCCTGGGACTAGCTCGAAGATTCTCATAGACCTTATATAGTGGTATACCCATATTCAAAATACTGTAACATCTGTGTGTAAAACACATACTGATTCTATCTGCAAGCAATGCTTGGATTCCCATTCCACTTGTTTCTGATGCATGCACCCCAGTGTGGGTAAAGATTCTTCTAGTTCCTTTGGTCCTGGCTCTTCTTTACCTTGAAAGGCATGCAAGACTCTCTTCTCCACAGTCACCTCATGTGTTTTTTATAATCGTTATTAAAATGCTTCAAAGAACATTCACAGGTATCCCTCTGTGTTTGGAGAACTTCAGTGAGTGTCCTTTGAACTTGGGATTTCGACTTTTGGAGACTCCATTACCTTGTATTATAACCATCACTGTTCCTCCCTCAATTTTCCTGAAAGATGTAGAAACTGGTCCTTGAAAGATAATTTAAAAGGATGAAGAGGTTTTCTAGATGATTCCTTTCAGTCTGTTCCAAATTACTTTGGGGAGGAGGATGTGAGATTCTTCTCTCCCTTATAATAAATCACAGCTATTGAATCATTGTTTGTAAGCCACGATCTGGGCTGTCCTGAGCACCTCATGCCAGGTTCCTTTGATTTTTCTACATTACATGCTTTTTGTGCTCCAAGAAAAAGTCCTGAGACAACTCTGCTGTCAAAAATATGTTTTTCCCTAAGTGGGAGGTCAATAGCATCTCCGTATCCCCATCTGGAGAGAAGAAATGAGATGCCAAGAGTGACACCCACTAATCATGTACCTTTCAGGGCTTGATTTGGTAATTTTCTCCAAGGATGAAGAAGCTGACAAAAATGCTTTCAAGATGGAAAGGGGGCTTGTAAACCTGCCTGACTTATTATTTTCTGCCTGAAAGCAATAAACATATGTTTCCTTGATAAAGTAACCAGGTTCATATTTGAGGGGAACAAAGCTATTTAGCCAGCCTCCAATTATTGATTCTTCTTGAGAATATTACCCCGAGGGCTCTGTGCAGTGAAAAGCTCAACATAACCCCAGCCCCCCCCCCCACACTCCCCCATCCATTCTGCCAAGATCCCAAATTCCACGCCGAGAGACTTTTTTTTTTAATACTATAAAATGTTGGCCAATGCTGTTGAGCACAGAAAATAGGAAATAGCTGTTCACTTTGACTGAGACATCAGAGGAGGCCAAAGCTTTGGGAAGATCTTTCTCACATATCAATGAATCCCACTCCTGAGTGGCTTCTGGCTAGAAGTCATTTCTTTGTGCCTAGATAAACAAATAAGTCTGGAAAGAAATGGGACTTTTGTCTTCATTTTTTGTGTGTTTTGTCTGAGTCTCATTACCATACTTACGACACTCAGACTCTCGGTTCTTGAATAAGACATTTATTCTATTGTCTGCTGTCTTAACATTATTTTTTTTAAAAAACCTTTTTTTTTTTTTTTTTTTTTTTTTTTTTTTTCAACAAAACTTTTGAGTACCACCATGTGCCAGGCACTCTTTCAGGTAATTTTAAAAGTTAGGAAACAAAAGGCAATAATCCTTGCCCTCCTGAAAACCTATGCTCTAGGCAATAGATACCAAGCATAAGTAAGAAGATTGTATGTTGTTAAAAAACAAAACAAAACAAAAAACACCAAAACTGATCAGAACAATGGAACTCAGAGAGGCAGTAGGTGGGGAAATGTTCCAGTTTTAAGTAGGGTGATCAGAATAGGACTCACTGAGAGGGTGACATGTGAGCAAAGGCTGGAAGGAGGTAAAAGAGCCATCCACACAGATAATCAAGGGAGAACATTCTAGAGACAAGGGAAAGCTAGTGCAAAGTCAAGAGCAACAGGGAAGCCAATATACATATACCTGGAGAGAAATGATTGCTCAGGAAAGTAGCAGATATAAAAACCAGTAAGGCAGGGGAAGGTAAGAAGGGAGATGGGTTACTTAGACCCTTTTAATGGTTGTAAGAACTCTGGCTTGTACTCGGAGTCTTTTACAGGATACCAAGCAATGGAGCCACAAGATGTTCGATTTTAAAAGGATCACTCCATCTGCTTTGTTGACAAAGATTGTGGATATTGGGTAGCAAGTGTAGAATCAGAGTTGTTTTGGAGGCTACTGAAGTAAATCCAAGCAAATAGCTCAGAAAAGGATAGTAGCAGTAGAAGTATTGAGAAGTGTGGATTCTTAATATATTTTGAGGAGTCAATAGGATTGCATATTAGCTTGGATGTGAGGTATGGAAGAAACAGGTAGGTCAAGGGTGACTTCCAGATTTTTGTCCTGAGCACCTGGAAGGATGGAAGTGCATCAAATGAGATGGAGAGAAAACCGTGGGTGAAACAAAGTTAAGGAAGAATATCAGAAGCTCTGTTTTGAACACGTTGTGTTTAACAGGCCTATTCCATATCCCAGTGGAGATGTTGCATAGGCAGCCCTATTTATGAGTCTGGCTTTCAAGCAAAATACATGAGCTGGAGGTATAAGTTTGGCATGTGCATGGTATTTAAAGCCACGCTGCTGGAGGACACCATCAAAAGAGAAAATGTAGACAGAGAAGAGAACCAAAGATTGAGCCCTGGAACACACCAAAGAGATCAGAGGTAAGAGGAGTTGTTAGCGAGGTGGAAGAAAAACCAAGAGAATGTGGTATTCTAAAGATCAAGGTGGGCCGGGCGCGGTGGCTCACGCCTGTAATCCTAGCACTCTGGGAGGCCAAGGCGGGCGGATTGCTCTAGGTCAGGAGTTCGAAACCAGCCTGAGCAAGAGCGAGACCCCGTCTCTACTATAAATAGAAAGAAAATTAATTGGTCAACTAATATATATAGGAAAAATTAGCCGGGCATGGTGGCGCATGCCTGTAGTCCCAGCTACTCGGGAGGCTGAGGCAGGAGGATCGCTTGAGCCCAGGAGTTTGAGGTTGCTGTGAGCTAGGCTGACGCCACGGCACTCACTCTAGCCTGGGCAACAAAGCGAGACTCTGTCTAAAAAAAAAAAAGACCAAGGTGAAGAAAATACATCAAGGGAGGAGGAGTTAATAAATGAACCAAACGCTGATGAAAAGTCAGGTGAAGACGAACTGACTAATAGATTTAGCATCGTGGATCTTATTAATGACCTTGATGAGAGCCGATTAAGGGGAAGTGGGCCTAAGAATGGAAAGAATGTAGCTGGAGACAAAAAAATATGGAAAATGTGAGTAATTTCTTTGCAAATCAGTACAAACACTGGGGTCGAAGTTGGTGGGGGAGGAATGGAATCAAAGTAAGTTTTCTGGGGTTTATTATTTTTTTTTAGATAAAAAGTAATGTTTTTTGTATGTTATGCTGATGGAAACGATCCAGGATGGTTGGGGGGAATAGTGATGCGAGACAGAGAAGAGCACCCATGTAGAAACGCCCTTGGGTGAACAAGAGCAGGTGGGACCTGGTGCGCTGGGTGGAATGGTTTTGAATGTGAGCACTAATGCTCCATCTGTGGTTACCAGAGGTAGGGCGGAGAGTGTGGGTGCAGGTAAGTGGGTACACATGATAGTGGAACCCTCTTTTATTTCAGTGCAGTTAGGTCATCAGGTGAAAATGATGAAGATGTGGGAGGCTTTTTTGAAGATGTGAGCGAGAGATTGGGTGGGCAATAGTTGTTTATACCATTGATACTTAAAGTGAGATCATTGGGCCGGCCCAGCACTGGTATCACCAGGGAGGCCGTTGGAAACTCAAGAATCCTAGGCATCACCACGACTGAATCAAAATCTGTACTTAAACAGAGGCACCAGGTGTTTTACATGCACCTTAAAGTTCAAGAAGACCTGATCTTGGCCATGTATCACGGTAGAAAGAGCAGAAAGAACATGAGCTTTTTGAACCAAATACATGGAACTATAAACTTAGAGACCACCTGATTTTCAAAGAAACTCTTTTTTCTTGAGACAGTCTCTTGCTTGGTTGCCCAGGCTAGAGTCTGAGTGCCATAGCATCAGCCTAGCTCACAGCAACCTCAAACTCCTGAGCTCAAGCGATCCTTCTGCCTCAGCCTCCCAAGTAGCTGGGACTACAGGCATGCGCCACCATGCCCGGCTAATTTTTTCTATATATATCTCAAAGAAACTCTTAAACTCTGTGTCAAAGTTTCCTTATCTGCACACTGGGGAGAAATATTAATATTAGCGCAATAGAAATAAAGGTGGTGGTGGTAAAAACAACAGGTAACATTCACTGAGCACTGTATCAGAATTCACTCCAATGGTTTCAATAAGCGGTTTTCAATCATGGCTATGTTACCTGCAGAGCCTTAGATAGTACCCACCCCAGCCTGTTACACCAATCTGGGGACACCAGCCCAGGCAGTGGTAGCTTTCAAAACCTCCCTTGGTGGTGATAATGTGTGGCAAGGATTGAGAACCACTGATTTAAGTGAATTAGCTTTAATGAAGCCATTACCTACAAATATTTGGAAAAAAAAATGGCAAGTTGGAGCAAGCACTCATGGACCAGCTACAGAGGGAAGGCATTAACTTACCTGGGGCTGGAAGAACAAGGAAGGAAAGAGTGTCCCTGCAGCAGCAAAGGGACTGGGTTGCTGCCAGAGAAGGAAGCAGAAGAGAAGAGGGCAGGGAGGAAGTTCTCTCTCCTGTCTCTGCCCACCTTCTGGTCACCTGACACCTCCTCCCATTGGCTGGCCCCAAACAGAAGCTGGCCGGCAGGGGAACCTGGGTGATGTAGTCCTGGATACTGGTCCTTCCTAGGAAGACAGCGGGCCAGAGAAGATGGCTGAATGAACAGTGGGAGGCTGGAGGGAGGCTTGCTGAGGGGTCAAATGGAGAATACTAAGCACAGGCACTTAGGATGGCCAGGCTCTCTGCCAAGTGCTTTATGTGGATTAACGTTTTAGTAAATGGCTTCATGCTTTTTCATTAAAACCCAGTACTTTTTTTTGTTGAATGAGGATATGTTCCAGGTCAATTTGTCATTGGTGGCAGTTAAATATTTCTAAGTTTTCAGACACATGCTGTCACCACAAGCATGCTTCCCCTTCTCCCTCCATGGGAAGGCTAAGACGCCAGGGTTCAGCATCCAGATTCTCTAAGCCAATGGGGCACACCTACTAGATTCTTGAGAATTGACTGGTTGTGGGAGTATACTCAGGGGGGGCACAAAAACCTGTGTTGGTCCTAGTGACACAACTTTCTAATTTGTCTTAGGAAAACATGATAGAGAAAGGCACAGTGGGCCCTTAAGTTGTGGCTCCTTGCTAGAATTCTGTGACCCATTACATGAACTATATATGAAGAAGTCTC